TACAAAACTGGTCACGTATCAAGACTAATATCCCACCGGAAAGTCTTCCACGGGTAGATATTTTATCTGCTGCTTTTACAATCACCTCAAAATCAAGGAAAATATTATGGATATCTATATTCTCCTCCAAGTTTCACTAATTCCAAATGACATCAAATGATTTGATATAATCAATAAAATCATTATCATATAATTTGTGTGTTATCCCTCAATATTCCAAAACACAAAGTTTACAAAGTCCGATGTATTGTTAACAGTTGCAGAGGTCACATCTTTCTGCTCCGGTCGTTTCCGATGCGCCGTAAAATGTTTACGATAATCGTGGCCTTGGCCCCACCCTAGTGGGAGTGTTCCCTTGGAGGGCGACGCGAATCCGACCTGAGACCACGACAGGGACGACCTTGGCTGTTGCTACGCTCTCGCGAGGTGTTCCCAGCATGGTGTGAGGGGAGACTGGGTGGGTGCAGGTGTGTCTGTCGTCCTATCCGGGTCGTCCCAGGGTGCTTCCATCAGTTTGTTACCCTTGAAATAGTAACGTATGTTACGGTTTTCACTGCGTCGTCGTTGAAGTTCCTTGCGTTGGTAAGTTGTGAGGTCGTTAGCAATCCCCACCCCCTGGTCCTTCAGAACACTCCTCATTTTCACCGATTGCCACTTATCCTCCCAATGACACATGCGAGCTATAATGGGCCTAGCCTTGTCACCCTTCTTAGTAGACAGTCTATGTGCCCTTTCTATATCTCTCAGGACTAAAGGTGGGAGATTCTTCACTAACCTGGCCTTATTGAGAACTGTCAAAACTTTATCCTTACTCTTAGTGTATGTCTCTCGTTGACCGCTCTCAGGCACATTATATAGCACGACATTGTTTCGTCTGCTACGTTGCTCTTGATCCTCCAGTTTAGTGTCTAATTATTCCAAATACTTCTCAATACCCACTGTCCTGTCATTCAAAGCCTCAATATCTAATTTCATCACATCCTGCTCTTGTTTACTAGTGTTTATGTCCTCTCTGAGCTCGTGGATGTCAGATTTCATGTCTCTAATGTCATCTTTGATAGATCTTATATCCCTAGATCATTTATCCTCACTCGCCTTTATCTGTTTCACAATGTCCCTCCTCATCTCATCTAGACAATCAATAGGACCGGGATTGAGTTCTATATCTCCTGACAGATGTAACGTTGAAGGAATCAGTTTCTTTACTGGGAGAGTTGCTGTTATCAGATGTTTATAGCACAAAACACTGGTCAGTCTTGAGCTATCTGTGACATCACTATTGTCGCACAAATGTAAACAAACATTTTCCCCAGTCAGTAGATCACCTCAAGACGCCCGGTATCAGCACAAACCTCCACATATCGCACAAGGGAAAAGGACAAGATGAGATGTATAGAGAATAGCACAGCACAGAGAGTCAGTCTGCCGGGTACATCAGAGCTGGCGGTGTATGGGGTGTAGGAGTCACAATGGCCGACCTGTCGGCTACCCCTCGGGTGCGTAAAGAGCCCGATCCTCGTTCTGTAGAGCGATAGGTCTATCATAATTAGTTCATATAGATGCTCTAGTCCCTTATAAAGTAGTATTGACAGTTAGTCGTCAAATTTCACGAGGCAGTTTGATAATTACCTAAATTCTCTCAGCTGCTGTGTTCCGTGACATTGTTGATAGGGGCGTGTAACTCTGTAGGTCTTACTAGTTGTAGTAAAATATGTATATGATTGATGACCATAAAGATTTTCCATGACACAATTTGTAACATAACGATTTCTTCCTCGGAAGTGAGGTTGTGGTCGAAGTAACAATAATATTGTAAGTAGTATTATATTGTCACCCACCTCGCTGCCAGGAGAGAAATTGTTATGTTATAAGCTATGTCGCAAAATCCTATTGGCCATCAATCAAATACATATTTTACTACCAGTAGAAAGTAGTTTTGATTTTGTAACTCGGTGAAAACAAACCTAAATAGCATTTATCCTCAGACTGGCGTATGTTCGCGACAGGGCGCCGCCATTTTTGAAAATCGTGATGTCACGGGCTAAAGTCTGTTAGAATTAATGAGATTATGGTTTGTTTTCATCAAGTTAGAAAATCAAAACTACTTTCTTCTCGTAGTTAAATATGTATTTGAATCATAACCAAAAGGGTTTTGGATGACACAATTTATAACATAACGATTTCTTCCACGGAAGCGAGGTGGGGGTCGAAGTGACAATACTGCGCGATAAATTTCTTGCTACATTCCCATGGTTAATGTCCACTCACCAGTATGTAGATACTAGTCAATGTACGTCTTTATATTTGCTCTTATAATCCTAATTAGTTTATTATCATACTTGTATGCATTTTGAAACTAAATAAAAAGCAGACGATCTGCTGATACTTATAGTGAATTTATAACAGAACTGTAATATCTAGACATTTGATAGTTTGCCAATGTGAATCATAATTCGCACACACACCTTAGTGTATGTTGTCTGTCTCATTACACTTCACGGCGAAAATAATGATTCTGTTGAATGCTACGACACATGAATAAAAACAAAATGCAAATATTAAAATTAAAACAGATTAAAGTTATAGGAACACTGTCAGGCTATTACCTTGTTCGAGGAATGTATCCATCAATATCCAAAAAAACGAGTGATATGCCATTCATCTGCAGCTGTTCCAAGTGATGTGTCTTTTAACAGTTTAATATACGAAAAAGTGATGCATCGTTTCAGGTATTTCACATTGGTGTATAGTCTCATTAGTCACCCAAGATAGCACACCTGGCAACTAATTGCATAATGTCCGCCTTTCTTTAAAAACAGTAATTTAGTTAGCCAATAATGGGCAATCAATCAATGTATTGCCGGTTAATCCTTTGAAAGAAGGACGTTGTTTTTACGCAGACACCGACACGACAGAGTGTATTCAGTATAGATTAGTAAATCTACATACATAAACACTACCTTTTGACAAATCCGCTGGTAAGATAAAAGTAATTAATCAATCAGCGTGTTATCGGTTAATCCTTTGATCGATGTTTATAATGTTGAATATTTACTCCAGACACAAGAAATGCCAAATGGGAACCTTTGTCAGGTAATCTAAGTGTGTTACCACTAATTATACCTGTTTTAAATTCATTAACTGACCATCAAGTGAATGATGACAAATAACATGTGTAGGTTTATACCAACAAAGGAGTATTAATTGCTGTATTGCATGTGAAAACATATGGGCCGACACTGTTTTGAGAATACAAACAGATGTTTACATGACATGATTAAATATCGAGGTAAAAAACACAGAAATAGGATCAATTTGGATCAGTCATTATACAAATAAGGCCTAACGACACCAAGCGATTTTGACAGAATCGTCCATGAAATCAAGTTGTAACTCGGAAACTAGGCAAAGCAGGAGACAAAATTAAATGACAGTAGATTGTGAGAACATATAGCTTTTATTTTCGACAACAGTTGTCACGATTTCAGGTTTATACAAACCTGTAAACAAGACAATTTACCCCCTGAAATGTAGATGAATTCTGCATCGGCCCTCATATCTATTCCTCATATGACATGACAGAGACGCCCCGCTCTGATTGGTTGAAATTTCGTTCGCGGGTGAGAATTGTGCACTGTTATCAAAAAAGTCGATTTACGTTATTTAAAGGCCGAAGTGAGTAGTTTTAATGACGGGGTTTCGTTTATAGCGATGCCAGTTAGTGATTTATGTATTTGTAACCCCCTAGAGTATATGTGATCTTTAAACATGCCTTGCATGTCTTTCCCTTGACCAGCGAAATACGAATGTACTTATGCCATCTAATAAACGATTATATTTCATGTACTGAGGAGCTATGTCCTACCTGTCATCAACATAATACAAAAACTACTTTTCACTTGAGTGGTATTCAGGAAGGTAATTTGGCTTAGATCAGTGTTTGCCCTTAACCCGAAAAAACTGCAGGCCCTAGGGGCCCAGAACCATGAAACGTTGTGGGTCCTGATCAGAATGTGTAGGCCCAATATTTATAAGCAATTCCAAGCAAGCAAACAATGTGACAATTGTCAACCTGAGTTAAAGAGTTTAATCTAACTCTAGTGACTGACTCGTCTTCATTTACAACAAAATCAACATCCATGTCTTCTGAAAAGTCTGTAAGCTACATCGCTTCCTCGAAAACGATAGTCGTTTCACATGTTGATCGAGATAAAGACTAAAATTACTGAATGATATTTTCTGAAAAATAATGCTCTTAGTTATTGAAGATGAAAAAGGTGTCAACCAAAAGGACCTGTACAAAACAAAAGCTGCGGGTCCGAGTGGTTTTCAGTCGGCTTCGGGCCTAAGGACCGACGGTAATTTCGAACGCTGGCTTAAATAAGGGCTAGTCAGATTTCTTGCAAATTATCATCGTAAATACTAGTAACTCAACCAACATTGTCAAACAAACCTACTTACTGTCTGTCAGTTTTTGAAAATGACACTAACGGAAAATACGAAATCGTATACGAAAACGTATCCGTACTCTTACACAATGGATTAATTGTCAGTTGTTCACCATCCGCTTCCTCCTGAGTTTCCTCGTGATGAGCCTTTGCCTCCTCCTCAGCCTCTTTGCTGCCGCCTTGGTCAGGATGCTGCACCTCCATGTACACCCCTGGGGAAAGTGCAGCAGAGTCTTGGGAACAGAAACAGTAGTAACACCAGAATTGTAACAAAACACCAGTTACACCACACTAGTCACACAACAGTAGCTATACCACACTAGTCACACCACAGTAGCTATACCACACTAGTCACATCACAGTAGCTATACCACACTAGGTTACTCTTTATGATCAAGACCACGGTGAAACTCATGCACTCTGTCTATAAGAATGTTTGTGTTTCTACTGCTGTACAATTCCTAATCGAGACGGATGAAGGGAATACTTTGATCCCAAGCAGTATATCACGGTATTGCCCACTTGTGTTGGAAATCTCATAATTGATGATAGGTTCATTACAACCGATCAGTCATCAAAATAGTCGGTTAGCGTCAGTTATCAAATTTTCGTATTATGTTTGTTAATGCACACCAAAAAATAAATTAAATTTAATAAAAACTAAAGAGAAATGTAGCTCTCTTGTTTTTTTGGGCGAATTGCAGAAAAATGCAGTTGCAAATTTCACATCTTTAAAGGATGACTATTATGTTAGGAAGATATGTTTCCTGCAGTCTTTAATATAAATTCAACCATGACTTGGAACGAGCTTGTACTGCTTATGAAATGTAAATTTACTGACACAGACAAAGCCGTCTTTTGAAAAATATTGTTGATGCAAACGAGTGTTCCAAAATTTATTGTGTTCGATTATGAGAAAACATGATCAGTTGCTTGGTCGTTTAGTCACTGCGACCAATATTTGATTGTTTCAATTAATCGGGCCACCACTATTTCCCCACATAATATATCTCACCGTACATATCAACACTGATCTTCTCAGGGGATGATCCAACAAACGGACCAGTCGCATTGGGGCTGAGTTGTTCCCCCTTGGCAAACCACGTGACATTAGATCCAGGGTCAGACACATATCTGAAGGTCAAGGTGAAACTGGAGTTCTGCAGCGGCTTCACCATAGTTACGCCATCGGTATAATCAGGAAAATACGGAAGTCCTGGGGAAACACAACAATGCAGTCTTCAAATACTGGCTGAGTGAGTAAGTTTAGTTTTGCGCCACTTTTAGCATTATTCCAGCAATATCAGGGTGGGGGACACCAGAAATGGGATTCCCACATTTTGTCCATGTGGGGAATCGAACCCGGGTGTTGAGCGTGACGAGCGAACGCTTTAACCACCAGGCTCCAGCACCGCCCCTTCATACTGAGGAGAAGGAGAAGTATACCTCTCAATTAATTTCAGGATACATTTAATTTTCAATTGAAAGTATCACCAGTTAGCGATGCAGTATTTATGGAAATGAAATGTACTAGCGCTTAGTCAACACTCAAAGGGGGCGTTAGGGTAGCCTAGTGGTTGAAGCATTTGCCGTCGCGTCGTAGGCCCGTGTTCTAGTCCCACATGGTTAGCTTATTTCTGCTCTACCCCGACGTGATATCGCTCTAATTTTGCACACAGCGGTATAAAACTATATTCACACATGTAGGACAAAATATTATTTATGTCAGCTTCTTCTTTATTGTATTCACAACGCTTCTGGGCTTGTCCTTGCTCCTTCACTCACTCACTCACTCACTCACTCACTCAAAGAATACGTAATACCCTGTACATCCAGCATGGCCCAATGAAAGCTGTACATGGACCCATTTCTGCCGATTCCATTGGTGCCATTACATATGTAGATCCCCGTGTCTTGATAGCGAAGTGATGACATTCGCAGTATAGAGTGCGTGGAGTTGTTGGTTCCTGCTAGTGCTCGAACATCTGTGTTGCCGTACATGTGCCTCCAGGGCAGGAATGTCTTGTTGTCAGGGTTGCCACTTGCGGCGCACGTGAATGCCAAAGACTGTATGCCATCTTCGGATATCGATACGTTTGATGTGACTGTCAACTTTGGGCTGTCTGCAGAGAAGATATGAAGAGAAGCGGTGGAATAGCGTATATCAGACGTGATGTCATCTGCTCAGGTAGTACTTTTATATACTGAACCTGGATGCGTAAAAGTGGATGTGCTCGTATAAAGTGATCACATACTATTTATGACGTCGAACATCACAAAACAAACCTTTGACTTCTAGATCTGTCATTTAATATATCTTGTCAACCACCTAACAACCTATCTTGTACAGATACGAAACTAAAATATCCTTTCGTATTTTGTCCAGCACGGCGATTTGACGTGTAAACAGACACCTACTGTTTTGGCAGAGAAAGAGAACAATCTCATTAACTCGAGTTCGTCTGCAGATGATGAGGTTACTCGACGTCCTGAAGAAGTGAAATACGATCGTCTTTACCAAAGGGAAGAGTATCGACTCGACTTAGTAGACTTGAAGTGTCGTCGGCTAAACTCCGCATTATACAGTGCACATGCGCCGGATGTTGTGGTCGGTGCGATGCTGTCACAGATCTACAGTCGTGGTTAGACAGTATAGGGCATGGAACGGTATCTGTCAAGGGTGATACACAAAATACGAATGCAAGTCAAAACATTGACTTCACAACAGTCTCCTTTCCTGCTGACTGGGATCCGTCCTATTGCGCAGCTTAGTACAATAACCAGTCCAGAATTTTTAGACCAACTCATTCAACTGTATATATAAATATTAATCAGTCTTATTTGATACATCTAACCACTTGTATATTGCACTACGCTCCTTCTAGTCCTTGCAAACACGTCGTGCAGCGTGCACTGTCGTACAGCGAGCTCTGACAAACGGAAATCTGGAAATCGTGGAAATCTCAAAACGAGTCTGGTACAGACTTGATATTATATCAATCACATTGTACGCTACAAAAATACACTCTATAAGCGCAAAGAACATATAACAGGTGTAACCAGTGAGACAGATGAATTGTTAATCATTGTACGACCTCTTCAAACAGTGGCAGTCTGTGCCTAAACCGCGACATAAAATATAGAAATACGATTGTTTAAAACTTTAAAATTAAAATCAACTTGTAAATACCATTTTATTATGATACAAAGAATTGGAATTCAGTGTAACCATAGTTGTGTGTAGTGTCTCTTTTCACTTTCACACGAGAAACTTCGCATCGGCTGAAAAGTAGGTCTTTGTCTGAATTGGTTAATGAGACTCATGTTTCGGTTTGGCGTAGGGTCCATCAGTTGTGTTTAACATTAGATCAGACATTCAGTAAACATAAAGTACATCGATTTGAGACCGAATGGAACTCAACGTTGCCTCACTTCAACTCAGTGTTTGCCCTTAACCCTGAAAGCTGAAGGCCCTAAGGACCCAGGGCCCCTATTCTCGAAAGGATCCTAGCCCAAGGATGTCCTAACTTTGATCCTAGGGTCTAGGATGGGTGTCCTACCTTATTCTCGAAAAGTATCCTAGCGTTAGGATGTCCTAACTTAGGACAAATACTAGGATAGGTTCTGACGTGTCCTAAGTCTATCTTAGTGGAAGTCAACATAGAGTGGTACTTGTTTGTTCACCAATTTTGACGTCAAACAAAATAACTCGTCAAACTTACATTTGAATTTACAACAGCACACAGTTTTGATGAGTTATGAAGAGTTTCTTCAGTTCATATTATCAATTAATCGGTAATGAATAGACACACTTGTTGCAATGCACGCATTCTTTAGATCTACAAAAGAGATTTGTTCAATTCTTACCTATTCTCGGCCTTTTAATCCACAACATTGCTCTTTTCAGTCACATTCACGTTAATGTCAATGTCAAGGCCAACTTGATAGGGGAAGTAACTCCTGTTTATTTCCTAGGTGAATTTTTCAGTTTGTGAGATGACGCATAATGAGAGTTCAAGTCATGATTTTCATAAAAAAAACAAATACAATGAAAATATGTTTTACACATATCTTTAATATCCTTATTTCTTTTTGGCAGACTTTCAAATTCTGAAGTAAAATTATTTATCGCCTTGTCAAAATGAATTTTCCAATTACTTTAATGTGATGAAAATATCGAATAATTTCTTCTAGATCTACTAAGTCCATCAAAGCTGAATTTCCTTATATTATGTGTTTTTTTATGCCACGAATCATTGGTATTATTTAGGGAATCCCCAACTAAATGAAGGATTTTTTATATCTCACCTACTGAAAGAGCTCGCTATCCCTAGCTAGGATAGGAAGCACAAGAGATTTAGGACAGGGATAGGATCATTTCGAGAATGGGTCTTATCCTTACGGTAGGATGTCCTAACTTCTGTCTTAACTACTTAGGATCTGTCTTAGCTGGGACACTTTCGAGGAATAGGGGCCCAGAACCATAAACAGTTGTGGGTGCTGATCATAACGTGTAGGCCCTATTGTTTAGCTACAATATAAGTAATTCGCAGCAAACACAAAATGTGACAACTTACAGAGTTAAAGAGTTAAGTTTAACACTCGTGACTGACTAGTCTTTGCATTTCATTCGGGTAACGTGTTCGAGGTTAAAAGATCATAGCTTGAAGTAAATCTAAATTGCTTACTCGAAACAGACAACACCTGCTGGTAGAGATAAAAAAAAAATAACTGCAGGATATTTTTCTGAAAATTAATACTCTTAGTCAATGGGGATGAAAAAGCTGTCAGCCATAAGGACCTGCAGAAAACAAAAGCTGTGGGTCCGAGTGGATTTCAGTCGGCTTCGGACCTAAGGACCGACGTTAAATTCGAACGCTGCTTCAACTCAAGATTCGTGAACGATGCCCTACTCCAGCAATACTAAAGGGAATCACATGGCCAGTGTAAATCCCCGACAGCGTCAATTCGTGTCTGCCATACGTTTATGAAAGTCCGTGGGCATATTTGCTTCTCGTATTAATAACCATACATAATGTAAGAAGAATTTTGATCTAACTCATACACATATTATTCTCGCATAAACTATACTGAATAGTAAAATATGTCTTCTGATATTCCTGACTGATGCTTACTTACCCGTGAAGGTCTGGGTAAGAATATTGATCTTCAGTAATCCATGCTTGTCGTAAGAGGCGACAAACGGGATTGGGTGGTCAGGCTCGCTGACTTGGTTGACACATGTCATCGGTTCCCAATTGCGCAGATCGATGCTCATGCTGTTGATCACTGGATTGTCTGGTCCAGACTCGATTATTTACAGACCACCGCCATATAGCTGGAATACTGCTGAGGCGTAAAACTAAACTCACTCACTCACTCACTATTGATGCTTACATTTTTTATACATGCGAATAGTATTTCGTAAGATTCTTACATAACACACTCAAATAGTCCTTGTCCGAATATGCAGAGCTGTTGCCGTGCGTATACTTATTCAATGCATAGCAATTGATCTCGGCACCGTCATCATCTCGTGAGACTTGAAACATAACGTAATATTGTCTTGTGTGTGTATTATCATTGCCTGGTCTCACTACAACCGTTCTCCTTCCCCCGGGGCTTGCCTTCAGGGTGGGGCT